TTTTTCAGGAGCCAGTAAACAGCAGCATTTGGAGCACGCCCTTCCCAAGTCACGTTCAGACCCAACAACCCTCTAGAATTTTCCTTGGATGTCAACTGTTACCAAAAGAAAGTACACTTAGCTGCACCTCAGGTGAGTTGTTACATAATTGTACATATTTCCTTTAAACACTTTTGACGTGGAAAGAATGTTGCTATACAGTATACTCTTTTAATGTTAACACTAGATGTGCCCTCTTTTGTAATGTTTGCTTACAGGCATTTTCAACTTCGAGATCGATGTTCAGCACTTTCCTTGCTTTTCCAGATCTAACTTCAATCTGGCCACTGTATTGGAAAGCTAAGTTTTAAGTTTTTCAAATGAAGCTAGAAGCATTCTGTGGGGCATTAAACTTTTTCTTTAGTCTAAATGATTATTTGTCAATGATAAGGAATCAGGGGCCTTACTTTTTTTTCACTGATACGACTTAAAGGACAATTATCAAGATTCTCAACTTTAGCTTGTTTCTTTGCTTGTACCTCCCCCAGTTTTGAATGTGATGTGTAACTTACACCTAGCCTGCACTTAGGTCATGTACATTAGTTAGACACAGTGGTCCATCATACCTTACTGATTTGCTAATGATAGATAATTATAAAGACAATGGTTTCCAAACAGTTTCCACACCACTGCTGGTATGCAGACAAGTTCTACTGGACTATGGCATAGTATAGTAGAACTGATCATACTCTTGTCTGCATACCAGCACGGGTGAGTATGGCAAACTTACATCATTCTGCATAGTTTACCAAATTGAATGTACTATCAGGCAGACGTTAGGTAAACACTTGAAAATGGCCTTTATCCTGGGCCTCAGCAGGATTATCACAATTATTACATAACAGAATTTTTGCCTGATGTTTGAACTGCCTCCACAAGTGTGGACTTTGAGTACATTAAGGATAATTGTGGGGTCCCGGACTACAAATTTGGTAAAATATTGATTTTTTGTGTGGATGCAGAGAAATACACTGTGTTTGAAATAAATCTGCCTGAAAGCCTGATAGCATTAAAACACACCAATATTAAGCCCAACCCTCAAACTCTGCTTGGAGAGTATCAGTTAAAGCTGTGAGGATGTGCAAAATTATGATCATACTATCCATTGCCTTTACATCATTTTGTTGTGTGTGCAGGTATGCCATATTGTGGTAACATTTGGGCACACGGCTGTAATTGTAAATTATTACACTTGGACTGGTGAGAATTTTCATTTACATTTGTATCTGGCCGGGGATATTTCGGAGGTGAAATTTTGTCTTGAGTTCAGAGTTATTAACTTTACATCATGAAAAACTGAGCTTGAGAATGTATCTCATTTGGTGGGGGCAATGATGGTGACTGTGTTACTAAGTCTCCCATACTACATTGTTCAGAGTAGAGTTTGGGCTTCTTTTGCCTGCATCAAAACTCATTCGTCCCCTGGATAGTTTGGTTCTCCCGACATGCTTTGTGCAGGAAAGACAATTTCCCTTTCCCAGGAAAGGACAAATTACATAGTTACATGTATTAATTATGTAATAGTAATTGCTCTGACTGGTTCCTAACAAATTTATTCTTTTCAGTTGTGCACTTGAAATGAAAATAATTTATATCCAGTGATTATTCATTTGTTCATTCATTTCCTCATTCATTCATTCCTTTCTTTCCTTTCCATTCTATTATAATTTCACTAATCTCAATTTCCTTACCACACTCCAGCCAAAATGCCAGCTTCTTTCAAACACACTTGTTGTCTTCTAGTTTTAATTAATATGTAATTTGTCCTTTTCTACTTAAAAATCAGAGATCTACAGCAACAGTAACTTTCAATGTTACTGTGCAGTTATGATCAGACTCACTGTCTCTGAGTGCATCAAAGCGCAGCCAATAATAAACCTTACAGGCACTTTAAAATTTTCTGTAACTGTTAAGTCAAAGCTGTTTAAGTTGCCACCAGTCCTCAGTGCTGTTAACAGTTGCTGTCAGTGACTGCTGGGAAACAGGACGTGTATTTTTGCTGTCTGATAGACGTGTGTACATAATTGGTACTACACGACAATTGGGAGACTATAATTATTTTAAGTATGTAGAACCAAATGGTTCTACAGACCACAGACTTCTGGTGGCCCATGTGAGAATGAAGCTGAAGGCAGATCCCACTGCCAAGAAGGAACGCCGAATAGACTCCTCACAGCTCCTGGACCCTCTGATACAAGAGAAGTTCATGTGCTCCATCTCCAACAGATTCAACGCCCTAACGCAGGACGAAACAGCGGATTGGCAGAACTTCAAAACTGAAGTTCTCAAGGCTGCAGAGGAAACTGTAGGAAGGAGTAGACCAGCCCCTAAAAAGCCGTGGATCTCGCACGAGACTCTCCACATCATTGACTGCAGGAGAGCCGCACGCCTCCGTGGGGACATGACTGAGTACCGACGTCTCAACAGAGAGCGGAACTCAGCAATCCGTCGAGACCGAGAAACCTTCTGGGCAGATCAAGCTACAAGCCTGGAGGAAGCCGCGCAACGCGACGACCAACATCAGGTGTACAGTATCTTGCGCCGAGCGAAGGCCGGCCCTCAAAGACGCAGTTCCCTCATAAAGGACACGGCAGGCAACATCCTGTCCAGCGAGGAAGACTGCATCACCCGCTGGAGAGAACATTTTAGCCAGCTCTTAAACCATCCTCCTGTCCCTGAGGACCCTGACCTCAAGGATGCTGCTGATGCTGCTGACGACTCCAACACGGACTCTCCAACCCCGCCTGTCACCCCAGACGAGGTTAGGACCGCACTAAGGAAGCTGAAGAATGGGAAAGCCCCCGGCATTTGTAAGATCACAGCAGAGATGCTGAAGGCCGGAGGAGACCATATCGTCAAGTGCCTAACCGAAATCATCAACCATGTGTGGATCCAGGAGAGACTTCCTGAGGACTGGAGAAGAGGGATTATTCTACCATTCTGGAAGAGGAAAGGTGATCAGCTGGTTTGTAGTAACCACAGAGGTATTACTCTCCTCTCCATCCCCGGCAAGCTTTTCACCCGCATCCTCTTGGCTAGAGCAATCTCTCTCATCCGGAGCAGCAGACGCCCACAGCAGGCCGGCTTCATGCCCAACAGATCCACGATCGATCACATCTCAGCCCTCCGTCTAGTCATTGAAAAGGCCCGCGAGTATAGGAAGGACAGACATCTGTACATTGCCTTCGTCGACCTGCGTGCTGCCTTTGACACGGTGGACCATGCTTCCCTGTGGAAGATACTGACTACCATCGGTGTCTCTCCAAAGATCATCGCCCTCTTTCAGCTGCTATACAGCGATGCAGAAAGCTGCGTCCGTGTGAACGACAAGAACTCAGAGTGGTTCCAGATCAACAGCGGAGTCCGTCAGGGCTGTGTTGCTGCCCCCGACCTTTTCAACTGTGTTGTGGACTACCTTATGTCTAAGGTCTCCGAGTGCGTCCCTGGAGTCTCTTTTGGCGGATACAGTCTTGCAGATCTGGAGTACGCCGACGATACGACCCTGCTGGCCGACACTCCCCAAAGACTCAGGGATGCCCTGGCAGTTTTTGATGCAGAAGCCTCGAAGCTTGGCCTTAGTATCAACTGGTCCAAAACTGAGCTGATGCACATAGGGGATGGCCCTGACCCTGCACCGTTCAGCTTCAACAACATCACGGTAAACTTCGTGTCCACCTTCAACTACCTCGGGTCCACAGTCTCCAGGACAGGTGATCTGAAACCCGAGATTGACCGGCGGCGTGGACTAGCAGCAGCGGCCATGCAGGCGCTCTGGAGACCGCTCTGGAAGCACAGACACATCTCGCTAGGCACAAAGCTACGTGTCTACAATGCCGCGGTGGTCTCAATCCTGCTGTACGGAGCTGAGACCTGGCCACTCAGCAACACTCTGGCAGCTAGACTCGACGGCTTCGACAGCAGATGTCTCAGGAGGATTCTGGGAGTACGCTGGTTTGACCACCTGCCTGGCACCGAGCTCAGGCAAAGGACCCAGCAGCCTCCTGCTTCCCGTGTGGCAGCGATGCGCCGAGTCCGCTGGTACGGACATGTCCTACGACTCCCACCCGACCACCCTACATGGGCTATCCTGAACTTCAGCCCCCAGTCTGCTGGGTGGAAGAGACCTCGGGGGGCCCCCCGCACCCGCTGGACAGACGTCCTGGCCAAGGACCTGGCCCTGGTCAACATCACCCCTGAAGAAGCGCAGGGGGTAGCCCAGGACAGATCGAGATGGAGGGAGGTGGCCCGCCTAGTAGGCTCGACGCACATCGTGCAAGAGGACTGAGCTGAGAGCTGAGAACCAAATGGTGTTTGTTGTGCAAAGAAATACAGCGCACACAGTCATACATAATGTTCTCGGAAAATATTTTGTTCTGGGAAAATATGGACTGTAACAGTATACAGTCAGGCTTGTTACTATGTACAAGTCATGTAATGTACATGTAATAGCAAGGTTTGGACCCAGACTGTGCAAACAGTTCAATTTCAAATGACCCCTTAAAACATTCACTTCTTTGAGGAGTGAATGAGAATAGCTTACTGTGATCAGGGCTCAACATCCAAGCTTTCACTACAAGTTATCTCCCACATACATGTACATGTATGACCCGCTACTACAGTCGAGTCTTATTTCACGTTCTAGAAGTAAGACCATTCTAAGCTACTGTTTTAGGTTGTAAGTCCCAATATAGTGTTGGAACATGAAGTCCAGCCTTTATTTCGTAAGGTCTTCAACATGACATTGTATTCCTCTCAGGTATAAATATTATGTAAAATTTTAAAATACATGTATCTCTTTTTCAGAAGCCCAACTTATAATGGCTGCTGTCCGCCCAAGGTCCTGGGCACTCCCAAGAGATCTACAAAAAATGATAGATCAGATGACTATGTTGGAAATATTAAGCACACTTACACTACTAGGGAAAAGCACTAAAGAGTTAAGAACTATGAGAGATGCAAAGATGCGCCTCGATGGCATCATTCGTGACAAAGTAAGAGCCGGTTTAACATTCAAACTACCAGGACAGGTATGTCTCAAATATTTTCTTGTATCTTGAAAGTTCATCTGTGTCAACTTGGTAGAAATCACTATGAAGCACGTTTAAACTGCAATTTCCAACACAACAAATCGGACTCACCCAAATTTTTGACTGTCAAGGAATGAACAATCCACCGCTTCCGTGACATCACACAGATAACACACGTGACTCTGTGAGCAGTTGATCATAGGTTGCAGAAAGTCTGTGCCCCCCCCCCCGTCTCTGTTGAGGGAAGGCTGTAATGCCCTGATGTAGATGGCCTCTTTAATCCCTTGTGCAAAGAAGTCTTGTTCTCAGAGTCCAAGATTATTACTTTGTCCAGTGAGACTGAAGATGTGTTATCTGCGTGATGTCACGGAAGCGGTGGATTGCTCATTCCTTGACAAAGACTCATACAGTCAAAAATTTGGGTGAGTCCAATTTATTCTGTTGGAAATTGCAGTTTAAACTTGCTTCATAATATTTTCTTGTATGTTTCTAGTATGTGTAGTTGACTGAGTTATTAATTTATTTTTAATTAGTATTTAACTTCTTTGTTAATTTGCATTCAAGGTAAGATAATTCAATCAGTGAATCATACATAGCATTCTAGCATAGCATACATTGTAAAAATGCTGTGATTTTATTTTAGTTTTGTATTGTCATGTCAAAAAGGATGCCATGTTGTCCCTACTCTTGAATTAAATCTTGACAAACTTGAGTGCATTTGGTTTAACTTTCTTGTAGCCAGGTTACCAGACCTTAAGAGCAAATGTCTGTAAGGATCAAACAATGGTGGCAGGGGTCAAAAAATCGATTTGGCTCAACTTTTGCACAGTGATAGTACTTGACCCACAACCCCTCAAAATAGCTTTCTTTCTGCTCCACACCGATCGTTGCCATGGTAACGGGCCAAACTTGTTTTGGGGCCATTTTCCCTGATTTGGGCATGTCAAAAACATGAAAATTGCCAAAGTTTAGGACGCGATTACAAACAAATGCTTGAATATATCGGAAAGACAAAAACTGTGCTGAAATGACCAACTTATCTGCTTTTCTAAAATAGCTTTAAACTTTTCCAGAGGTCCGTTTTAAGGGTCTGGGCACCCCTAAGACAATACAGTGTTTTTGGCTTGTGAAATATCCCTATTTCTGCCCATTTTTGAAGCGCCATAACTCCAAAGATGGTGATTTTTTTTTCTTTCATATTAAAGTCACAGATACATAATCATATGTGCTATAAAATGCATGTTTGCAAAGTTTGGCCAATTGTTTGGTTCTCACGTGGTTGTCCTCTGAAGTAGGTCATATTTTACATTTCAAGAAAAATACCAAATTTTGTCATATTTAAGATGCAATATATACAATATGAAAGCAGAAATCTGATAACGCTTTGAGCAATATGTAACCCTATTGATTGTCTATCAAATGCATGCTTGTGGAGGTTGGAGTCTTGTTTTGTTGCTGTGTACTTGTCCCTGAAAGTAGGTCATATTTTGGACATGTGGTAGAATTAACATTTTCGGCTGTCTTCCAGGCTCTATAACTGACAAAGTGGAGTTTTATTGGAACTCAATATTTGTAGGGTATTACATACATGTATTGGGTATGGAATGAATTCTTGTTGAGGTTGGAGTCTTGTTTCGTTGCTGTGTACTTGTCTCTAAAAGTAGGCCATATATTGGACATGTGCTAAAATTAAGATTTTGGTCAATCTTTGAAGCTCTATAACTGACAAAGCAGGATGTTGTTTTCCTTCAATCTTTGTAGGGTAGTAGATACATGTATTGTGTATCAAATGAATGCTTGTGGAGGTTGGCATTTTGTTTCGATGCTGTGTACTTGTCCCTGAAAGTAGGCCATATTTTGGACATGTGCTGAAATTCTCGTTTTTGGCTAACTTTAAAGCTCTATAACTGGCAAAGTAGGATTTTATTTCAATTCAATCTTCGTAGGGTAGTACATACATGTATTGTGTATCAAATTCATGCTTGTGGAGGTTGGAGTCTTGTTTTGTTGCTGTGTACTTGTCCCTGAAAGTAGGTCATTTTTGGACATTACAGAAATTAGCATAATATACGGCTGTGTTTGAAGCTATAGAAATGACAAAGTAGGATTTTATTTCAATTCAGTTTTTTTAAGGGAAGTACATATATTCATTTTGTATCAAATGAACTTATGGAGGTTTGGGTCTTGTGTCATTATTGTGTACTTGTCCCTAAAAGTAGGCCATATTTAAGCACATACCGGTCTGCGCTTGAAGCCCTATAAACGCCAAGGTAGGATGTTATTTGAATTCAATTTTCTAGCAGAAGTAACTTTATCTATTGTGTACGAAATGAAGGCCTATAGAAGGTGGGTTCTTGCTTAGTTGCGCTGTACTTGTCCCCTAAAGTAAGCCATAATTAGGACATATTCTATTGTATCTTTGTAGCTTTCCCTGAAATTAGGAAATATTGCTCACGTTTCTATATATTATATATATAGTTCTGTGTCGTTTGAACATTTGAAAAAAAATTCTCTTTGATTCAAAATTTGAAAAACCAAATCATGTGTCTTCGGTGTTTTATTATTTTCAACACAAATCTCCCTAGTGTGGTTGCTCACATTCTTGAATCTTTATAAAAATGTCAAACAATTTAAAACAATGATTTGTTTTTGAATAAAAGGGATTTTTTTTCAAATGTTCAAACGACACAGAACTATATATTAATTATATAATCTATAGAAACGTGAGCAATATTTCCTAATTTCGGGGACAGCTACAAGGAAACAATAGAATATGTCCTAATTATGGCTTACTTTAGGGGACAAGTACAGAGCAACTAAGCAAGAACCCACCTTCTATAGACCTTCAATTCATACACAATAGATAAAGTAATTCTGCTAGAAAATTGAATTCAAATAACATCCTACCTTGGCGTTTATAGGGCTTCAAGCGCAGACCGGTATGTGCTTAAATATGGCCTACTTTTAGGGGCAAGTACACAATAATGACACAAGACCCAAACCTCCATAAGTTCATTTGATACAAAATGAATATATGTACTTCCCTTAAAAGATTGAATTGAAATAAAATCCTACATCGTCATTTCTATAGCTTCAAACACAGCCGTATATTATGCTAATTTCTGTAATGTCCAAAAATGACCTACTTTCAGGGACAAGTACACAGCAACAAAACAAGACTCCAACCTCCACAAGCATGCATTTGATACACAATACATGTATGTACTACCCTACAAAGATTGAATTGAAATAAAATCCTACTTTGCCAGTTATAGAGCTTTAACGTTAGCCAAAAACGAGAATTTCAGCACATGTCCAAAATATGGCCTACTTTCAGGGACAAGTACACAGCATCGAAACAAAATGCCAACCTCCACAAGCATTCATTTGATACACAATACATGTATCTACTACCCGACGAAGAATGAAGGAAAACAACATCCTGCTTTGTCAGTTATAGAGCTTCAAAGATAGACAAAAATCTTAATTTTAGCACATGTCCAAAATATGGCCTACTTTCAGAGACAAGTACACAGCAACGAAACAAGACTCCAACCTCAACAAGAATTCGTTCCATACCCAATACATGTATGTAATACCCTACAAATATTGAGTTCCAATAAAACTCCACTTTGTCAGTTATAGAGCCTGGAAGACAGCCGAAAATGTTAATTCTACCACATGTCCAAAATATGGCCTACTTTCAGGGACAAGTACACAGCAACAAAACAAGACTCCAACCTCCACAAGCATGCATTTGATAGACAATTAATAGGGTTACATATTGCTCAAAGCATTATCAGATTTCTGCTTTCATATTGCATATATTGCATCTTAAATATGACAAAATTTGGTATTTTTCTTGAAATGTAAAATATGACCTACTTCAGAGGACAACCACGTGAGAACCAAACAATTGGCCAAACTTTGCAAACATGCATTTTATAGCACCTATGATTATGTATCTGTGACTTCAATATGAAAGAAAAAAAATCACCATCTTTGGAGTTACGGCGCTTCAGAAATGGGCAGAAATAGGGATATTTCACAAGCCAAAAACACTGTATTGTCTTAGGGATGCCCAGGCCCTTTAAACGGACCTCTGGAAAAGTTTAAAGCTATCTTAGAAAAGCAGATAAGTTGGTTATTTCAGCACAGTTTTTGTCTTTCCGATATATTCAAGCATTTGTTTGTAATCGCGTCCTAAACTTTGGTAATTTTCATGTTTTTGACATGCCCAAATCAGGGAAAATGGCCCCAAAACATGTTTGGCCCGTTACCATGGCAACGATCGGTGTGGAGCAGAAAGAAAGCTATTTTGAGGGGTTGTGGGCCAAGTACTATCACTGTGCAAAATTTGAGCCGAATCGATTTTTTGACCCCTGCCACCATTGTTTGATCCTTACAGACATTTGCTCTTAATAATAGCTCCCGAGTCCTACATCCTCTCCGCAAATCCTCTCTCTCTTGTATTTGCGGACAGGATGTAAGGACTGGGGAGCTTACATGTATCAAATAGGTCTTTTTTGTTATTGAAACAGATTATACTAAAAAAATACATTTGTATATAAAGTCATTTACACTGAAGATACCAGCTTGAGGATAATTGTATCGTATGCAATGAATTCTCACAATTTGAAATAATTGAAAACAAAATTAAGCAACTTCGACATGACCTTGTTCACAACTTAGTATTCTGAAAAACTGAGAGAAGCATCTGAGGCCTACAGGCAAACTCGAGTTCGCCTAACTGAGCTATGCAACAGTATCGCTGACTACCTTCCCAGTCTGGACAAAAGTATCAAGGCAAGGCTGAAACAATGGCTTGGCTGTGAGGCCGAGGAAATCATACAAGATGTAAAGGATCAGCTACAGAAGAAAGAATGCCCAATTTTTGTAGCAGGTGAGGTTGACATAGCCTGGGTACCATTCACATTTTTGCTGCGCAACACTCGAAAAAGGGTTTTCGAGCGTTGCGGAGAGAAAAAAATTATTCGAATGGTACCCATGCTAATGCTGACATATGAAGACAATTAGTAAGCTTGAATTATATAGTGGTGCTTATCCTTTTAATCACCTCTGACATTCTTTGTTATTGAAGAAAGTTGTGTAAAGTGCCTTTCCCAGGGACACAATGTCTAGCTGAGAATGCAAGGCATCAAACCCATGATGAATGAAAGATTTTTCTAATATCTGACACTGAGCACTCTTCATATTCAGGAGAAACATCCTCAGGAAAGAGCACCTTCCTGAACCTGCTGTTGGGAAGTGAATTCCTGCCTGTGGCTCTCCTGAGCAGCACCTCCACCATCTGTGAGGTGAAGTATGGAAAGACCAAGCGAGCAGTGGTCCATCTGCGACAGCCCACAGATCAAGAACAAAGGCAAATAACCATCCCACTGGATGGCACAAAGCGGCGTCAGAAGGAGCTGGAAAGCTACATACACCTTGAAGGTGCCAGTAGAGACGACCTTCCTCCAGCTGAGCGGGTTGAGATCTTTCTGCCTATCGATCTTCTCAAAGTAAGAATTGACCAGATAAAAAGTTCAACAATAAAAATTCTTTTTACCTAATGGTCTGCACACCCTAGTTCTTCTGTGACCGGGTTTGTGGTAGTGCGCGGTAAAAAGTGCCGAAAGGGTTTTAAGGTTCCAAGTTTGAGGTGACATTTCCCAGTGTTATACTTTGCAAAAATGAAATTGAACACATGCTTTAATTTATTCCTTTAAAAGGGAGGAAGTGTACTTGTAGACAGCCCAGGGGTAGGGGAGAACGAAGTGATGGATAAGATGGTAGCGGACTATCTTCCAAAGTGTCTTGCCTTCATCTACATCTTGGACAGCTCCAGGGCTGGAGGAGTACAAAATGACAAGGTGAGGCCTTATTCAAGACAAGTTTATGTTACTTCTGAGTCTTTGATTGAAAGTACACATCAAGTAACTTCGATTAAATTATGAACTGCTCTTTCCTCAACCAATTGCAGATCCGGAGCTGCCCACAATTGGTCTAGATCTGTCAGACTGCGTTCTAAAATAGCTTCAGGGTTCTCCACACTAAATGTGCGCCCTATTCTTAGGCCGACTTTAGACTGACAATGGTTGAATAGTCGTACGAATGTTTATCGTCAAGATGTCACCGGTGACAGTATTTTACCACCATCTAAAGACGATCAAAATACATGTAGTCGCACGACGGTAATCCTCGGACCGTCATTACTACCACCTTGGACCCTATCGTGCGATCCCTCAACAGGGGGTCCGAGGAGGATTTTCCACCGTCTAAATAAAGTGAACTGTCGCCGGCAAAGGAAGTGGGGGGTCATTGGCCTTATGCAAATAAGCCTGCGTTATTTCATGTCCAAGCACATCGCCTGTATCATTAAATGTCGTCAAACCAAAGACTTTATATTGTCATACGTAAGTACAATCCCCTGCCACCAATCGCTACTTCTCCGGTACGAACCGATCCGCCGGACCACATTTCCCAGCAATATATAGCCAGGCCGACGGCAGCACTGAACGCTGGGTTCAAACCAAGAGTATTTCCCCGCTCGGTATATGTGCCTCATACCCCTTCTTTGTTGGGCACAAACTTGGCGTCTCATCCACAGGACAATGAGTTCAAAGCAGAATAAAAACAATCTGCTGCAGCATGCTGAAAAAAGGGGTTCTCTCTCCATTTTGAATTGGTGCGCGGCGTGCCATCCTGCGTTGCGGATGTCCGCCACACTCCCTGGTCATGTGTCTAAAACCAGCCGTCGCCCACAACGATTGTCGTGCGATATATCATATACTGTCGTCAGTCGGCCTTAATCTATCCTAGGGTGGCAAAAAGACTGTTACTGTTGTGTACAGTATCAAATTGGCCAGGCAGTATCCATTGGTGGGAAATAGGGGCACGCGGGGGAGGGACTTTGACACATTTCTCAAAGAAGTACCCCTCCCCCTGTCCTTTGAGGCTGCGACTTGTGGCAGAGGTAGGGGTAGCGGGAAATAAAAAGGTCATAATAAAAATATATAAAAAGGTAAGAATCTTCTCCAATCAACGTATACCTTCTGTCTTGGTTTGACGTCACTGACCATATGATAAATACATACTTAGTCTAGTTGATTTTATTTTTCCCAGCTGGTACAAATTTTAAAGCTGTGTGCAGACAACAACACAGAGAAAGAGAATTTTGACCCCAAATCAGCCATCTTCATCTGCAACAAGTGGGACCTTGTGAGTACAAGAGAACAAGAGGAAGTGAAGAGAGACACCTTCAGGAAGCTGTCACAGAAGTGGCCTGGTCTGAAGGAGTCACAGATGTTCTTTGTGTCCACAATACAGGTGAGCCTTATAATGTACATTTTGTACCTATAAAATGTTGTCAATTTGGTTTTTTTCCCTTGAAATTGGCATGTCATTGAATAAAAAGATTATGAATTTAAAGCGCTTTTATACACAATTATAGTACTGGTGACTTATACAATGTATATTGTTCTAGGCTGGCCAACTTGCAGGCATTCTATCAGGGGAGTTCACCAAAGCACTGGATGGCATTGACACACTGCTGGCTCAAATTCTTAACATGAAGTCCATGGGATACTACAGGTACTGCATTTGAGGATTATATAGAGTTGATATCCTGTTTTGTATAAAACTTTTTCAGTGATTGTGCGTATCATAAAAACATAATCAGCCGCCTGTGACCAGACCACACGCAAAAAATGAGCGTATCAGTATACCAGAATGTTTATAATCTAAGCCATCCGTGATGGGACGCCGTCCAGAGCCCATTTGGGCTGTCGTAAAACCCGCCCGAAAAAGCACCCACGCCCGTCCCAGAGCCCGCCCAGTCCCGTCCCGGAGGCCATCCGTACCATCCCAGAGCCCGCCCACGCCCGTCCCAGAGCCCGCCCAGGCCCATCCTGGAGGCCACCCGTACCGTCCCAGAGCCCGCCCACGCCCGTCCCAGAGCCCGCCCAGGCCCGTCCCAGAGCCCATCCAAACCCGCCCACGACGCCATCCTGGGCGTCCAAGTGGCCAATTTGGACGGGGTCCGGGCCGTCCAGACCATCCCAGGCCGTCCAGGCCAGTTTTTTTGAGGCGCCCATGGGCCACATTGAAGACTACCCTGGACGGGTCCCCGTCCCCGACTTTATGCCATCCCGGATGGGCATCCGGACCGTCCGGAACGCCTAAATTTTCACAGAGGAATGGCTGAGTCTTTGACCTATTAACTGACCTTTTCAAAATATTTTGCAGTCAGCTGAGTTCACTTTTGAACAAGGCTTTAAACCACATCGAACTGAGGATAAACTACAGATCCAGCTCCATACAACCACTGGAAGAACAAACAGGCAAGAACATTGATGAATTAGAAATTATGGTTAGGAACAGCAGGGTAGAAACGCTTGCTTCCCTACAAGAGGTAGTAAAGGCTGGACACCTGTGGCATATTCTGGAGGAGGACAAGTCACTTGCTGAGTTGAAACAGAAGAAGAAAACTCAGTCCGACAACACAGCTCTATCTAGTCTGAAAACTCTTTGTGACTGTGTAGTCCGTCATATCCACAGTAACTGCAGATGCTCATCATCATATCATGACCACATCGCCTCCTTGAATGGAGAATATCAGAAGCTCATGTCCAAGACACTTGCAATGCTCAGGAGTACACAAAGAGATGCAATGATGCTCGCTTTCAATGTTCCAACACCTGCTGACATGGAAGTTCACGATGTGAAGTACGAGCAGCAAGAATGGATGAAGAAAGCTATACACGGCTACATGAGCTTAACTCATTCAACATTTCTCTTGAATGAATATGATCCAAAGTTACCTATAACAGCACCTGGGCTTGAGAACCACTTTGAAGAAGCACCCATGAACACACCCTTGGTGGACATTATGAAGGAAGTGCTGTCTTCAGGTGATCTGCTGAGTGAGATTGCTGAAAAGCAACTGCAGCCACATCATGATGTCTTGGAAACATTCAAGAGTGACGTAGAAAAGATGAAGACATGTGTGAATGAGACAATAGAGGACATGTTCAATGACACAAGGGATCTTGATAAGATTGTGGCAGCATATTCTGCAGTGTGTCAACAAACATCTGACTTCCGCGACCAACTCGCATTGTTCTATCTGACTCACCTAAGGAAGTATGAGTATGAGCTAGACAATATTCAAGGGTGGACAAACACAAGAAACAGGCTGGGAGGTGGAGCTTTTGGTGAGGTCTTCAAGGTCCAAGTCTTGTATAAGGGAACAATGACTCAAGCTGCATTGAAGATTGGAGTCTACCCCTATGACGTGATCCCACTACCACTGACAAAAGAAAATGCCATCCTGAGGAACTTCCTGACAGAGGAAGACAACTTAAGGTAAGGCAACTCCATCAACAGCAGACACATCAACCTACATGTATGACTAAGTTTATGGGTAACAAAATTAGGATGAATGAATTCAATACAGCAGGGGATCAGGATGAGTGATAAGATGTATCACAAGGTGGTATAATTAGGGTGAGATAATTAGGGAGAGCAAGTCAGAGAGTCAATCATGGTAAAGTTAGTAATCAAAGGGCAACTGTATGGTGAGCATGATCAATTGGTGCAGACTGGTAACAAGCCACACTCAGAAAACAGATGCCAAGGGTATCTGTTTCTGAAGCCAGTATAACTGAGTCCTTCGGCGTAACACATCAGCTTCGCAGGCACGCAGCGTGGCAACAGCTAGGTACATTACCAACGATGTGTTAGTATATACCCAAATGACATGTTACAAATCATTTACAATCATGATGTATCACATGTCATTTCTGATATGATTTGCTTGACTGACATAAATACAGGAAGCTGAAGGAACCTATGGACACTTCATCGGATCAACGGATCCACAATCAACACATTGTGGAGTACTACGGCACTGCCTGCAAAAGGGTGCCACGAGGACTGAAACTGGGGCTGGTCACTGAGCTGTGTGAGGGAACACTGGCGGACAGGATCATTGGCCAAAGGTGAGAACTGCTTTACATTTTCTTTTTATAAGGTCAAGAAAATAGTGTTATTGGTAATGGACCGACATTGACCAATTAATATGTTTTTCACAGGGACCATAACCCAGCATGGTGGGGCTCTGACCCAGAGAAGCAGGCAGCAGCCTTCAGCTACACCCAGAACCTGGCAGTGCAGCTGTGTGAGGGGCTGAAGATCATCCATGATGCAGGCTACATGCACAGGGACCTCAAACTCATCAACATTCTTGTATGTTCCTCAAATTAAATCAGTTGGTATTTGAAAGTAACAAAGAAGGTATTCCATATCATAACAAACCTTTTTATCAGTCATATCTAATTTATAGGAAAGCACCTGGTTAGAGAAATGGAGTGAGGATATTGAATTTTATAATTCAAAGAAATGGAGTGAGGATATTGAATTTTATATTTCCTTGCCCTCATTGAGGAGAGAAATATGAAAACTCTGTGCATGTGTGCCATATACTAGTACACATACTAGAGAATACAACACACTGTTCCGTTTCACCCGAGTATTGGCCCAAACACGATCCAACTCGCAGGAGGGCCAGGACCTGGGTGATGCGGAATACACCGTGTTGTATTTTATTTCATGTCATACCCACCCGAGAAAATGCGCCTTTCAATGCAAAACGAGCCAAAAGTTGGTGTCCCTATAAACCCTAAAATGTAACAACATCAATTCCAACGTTCAAATTTTGTATTTGAATTTTCGAAAGCAGTGCACGCGTTAGGGTGAAACGCCATTTGAATCGTTCTATGGAACATTTGGAAGCCCGGACCATATTTGCACGGCCCAGTCTGAAACATCCGCACCCGTATATTGAACGCAATCGCGGCCCGGGTATGATGTAGATCATGGCATTCATCAGTCGGGGTTTTCCAGTTCCATTCTGTTTTTCTGTTCCTTCATTCCATTATTCCACGGAATATTGTTCTATTATATGACAAACTAGTTTTACAGCAATTGGTGTGTCTGTGCATGTAAAACAGAGTAACTGTTATAAATTTATCAAATTATGCCAGATGAGCATAAATGACAGAAGAAACTTTGATTGAAGCTGGAAAAACCTACATACCGAAGCTTGCAGTGTTCTTTTCAATCTGTTTTCAGAGCAACCAACACTTTGTCCATGTCATCATTCAACTGAGTGTACAATTTCCTCAGTCATAATATACATTTCATTGTGTCTGTGCATAAAGGTAACTCATGATGATGTTGTGAAGCTTGCTGATGTTGGACAGAGCAAGGCAGAGGTAAAAGTCACAGGCACAATAACTGGAACACCCCTCTACGTTGCACCTGAAGTGTTAGCGGAACAGATGTACAACAAGAGTGCAGACATCTACAGCCTGGGCATCCTCCTGTGGGAGATGTGGTACGGGAAAACCCGGTATCAGCTTGACACTGAGGTCAGTCAGAGTGTTGATTCCTCACTTTCTTTCAGGTTGCCGTTAAAGTAACTTAAAGATACAATAAAAAAATACACTGCTTTTAAAAGCTATAAGACCTTTTGGTACATGTCTTCACTATTTTTTGTAACATGTAGCTTTCAATCACAATATTACTAATGGTTGCAGTCACCATAACAGTCTTTTTGGCATTATACATGTAACTGTATAGCTACCAGTATCCAGAGGACAATAATGAGCTGTAGTGATTGAATACTAACAAAATTTATAATGTACGTATTTTGTCTAAAACTCTTTGTTAATAATGCTACTTGCAAATGTACAACACGACTTTTGTGGTCTCTAAGCCTGGCTCAGTAACTGTACCCAGAATTGATTTCGTCTACTCATGAGATACAGTACGTAGTCATGATCAGTGATAAATGATCATCCAAAATGAAAGAACTGCCAGGTTAATACGTCAGACATGTATAACCTTATGGGTGCTCCTTTTTGTTCTGTCAGCCTGAGGATGTTGCTTACGACAAACAGATGAAGACAGACTTGAAGGAAGGTAAAGACATCCGAATGCCGCAGTGGCGAGGTACAGTCCCCCCCATCCCTGAGTGGACCAGGCTGATCCATGACTGTCTCAAGAAAGATCCAAAGGAACGACCAAACATACAGGAGTGTCTGAGAAGGATCTCAGCTATGAAGGTTTAATAGAAACTGGAAGCAAGACCTAACTTTACAAGCAGATGTTGGGAGAGAGAGACCTTTTTTTCGACTGCCCATTTTTGCTGGCATAGTAGAGGGTCAAACCTCAAGCTGTAGAATTTCAATCTTACCAAATCGTAGGTCCTCCTAACATCTGCTTGGAGATGAAATGGATTCTAGAAAATTGAAAACCAATTAAAGGTCCTTGAAGTTTATAAGACCAGTAAGACCACATGTCTTGAACAATTTTAATGGACAATAATAGAACAATAAAAAGTTACTGTGTAGCTACAGATAAATGTGAAATGAAAGTTAACAATAGAATTGTAAGATGTATATAAAGTGTTAATTGAATTGTATCATGATAATGTTTCTTGAATATAATGAGAAAATGTAGTATCAAGCCAGGTTATAAACTAGTAACTGAAACTTATCATACTAGGCATGTTGGATATGATAAATATTTTCTTATCAACAGACCAACAATACCATGATGATTCTAAGACTTGTACATAATTTTATACAAAATTTAATGTACTACATGTACATGACACATTGACATTGTATGATAATTATAATATCATAGTACTCATAGTCAATCTAAATTGGAAGCAAGCTAGTACACATATCACTCCACATAGTCATATCAAGAATAATGATTATTACCTAAGATTTATCCAATTTATCATGTTCAATTCCAGTGTCTCTAACTAAAGTCTCATCCCATATCCAATCTCATCTACATGTATCCCTTGGTTGAATCACTGACCGTTTGGGGCACCACAGATGATTAGCTTTCTCCACCCTTCTCAGTTCCTTCCTAACTTGTCAATAAAAGTCAAACTTCTGTGCTACACTCGGCCACTTTTTTTTCAGCAGGTAGGCGGTATAGCAGTTTACAGTGCTGAGCTCGAGAAAGCCCAGACTGCGTTACCCTAGAGACTCATGGCCCAGTTTAAAAGGAGTGTAACACGGACATGCCCTTTGTATGACTGTATCTGCAGTGACCTGTAGGTATTTGCACGCTTCCTGTCAGTTCACAAAAAAGTCATTCAGTCGTGGCCAGTCGCCAAACTCTAAAACCCCAGCCGACGCTCGCTTCCTTTGCTTTGTGATTCCAAGAATCTGTAATTTCCAGGTGGTTGGAAGTGATAGTGGCAGGATCTACGTACATCAATGCTTGAATAATACACCCTTTAATACCCAGATTACGATGCAAACCACCATAGAATGTAAAACTGTCTTGAAAGAGAAAAAAACGACAGAGAGCTTTGAATTGATCGGCAAACACGGCACGGCCCACGTCTTCATAATATTCCCAGGCACGACTTCCATTATGATTAGGACTTAGGTTTGTATCCGTGGGCGAAAATTAGAAGGCGCGCTTCAGTCTTAATAGTGTATTTACCACTGGGGTAAATGTGATATTACAACCGTGGGTGGATATTAGGGACCTAGCCAGTGTAACTGCATTCCCCGGCTAGCATTCGCTACTAACCATTTGTTACAAGGCCACTGCAACTGAAGCATCTTTATCTATTGAAAATTACACAATCTCTCTCTTTAATAATGCCTAATATATTATATGATATTATTATTTCCTGGCTAGCATTTGCTACTAACCATTTGTAACAAGGCCTCTGCAATTGAAGACTGAGTCTTTATTTATTGAAAATTACACAATCTCTCTCTTTAATAATGCGTAATATAAAATATATGATCTTGTCATTTCCTGGCTAGTATTCTCTACTAACCATTTGTAACATGGCCGCTTCAATTGAAGATTACACATTCTCTCTCTTTAATAATAGGGATATGCAGATATCGTTATCTCAATCTAAATCCAAACAGACACCGATGCATACCATCAATGAAGATGTAATCACAAGGTCTATGATTGAAACAAAATGCAGACCGTGCTACAAATATCAAAGAGATGGATTTACCTTTCTTCCTCCTACATTGTATTATGATCATTATAACGAAGAGTGAATTATACTTGTTTTCAAAGTACGAATTGGAATTATATCAGAAGAAAAGCAAAGCAGCTGTGAATTAATTTTCTGTCACAATACATGCAAGTTGAGTTCACATTGTTAGAGGAATGCCAAATTTTGCTTTTGCATTGGAAGACACGGCAACATTATTACGCCACCGCAGTTGAAAGTGTAATCTAAAGTTCTCAAAATGCAGAGTCGGCCTTAACTCTTAAGTAACATCTGAGTCTCTTCCCTTATATACCCAGAGAGGTGGGATAAAGCTGTGAATACAGAAAATCTCAGTGTGCGTCAAACGCATTTTTAGAGTGGCAAGACTGGACTTTCTCCTATATAAATAATACAGTCAAACCTGTCCAAGCCGGCCACCCAGGGGAACAGAGAAAAGTGGCCATCTTGGACAGGTGGTCTCCTTGGAGACAAAAATGGTTTCCAAGTCGATCTGATGTTTTAATGTCAAATGCTGTAAGCATCTTCAGTTCTGTTGTGAATACATGTGGAGAGGGTGGTACATGGCACAATTTACGTCGAACAAAACATTATCCAGCAGTCTGACTGGTTCCTCCATGATTTCTCATTAGGTACATTTGTATCATCCATAATCAACACGATCGAAAATGATGTGGTCACCATGGGCATATATCAGGCCTTGAGCGGACCCAACTCAGGGTGATAGCATTGGCCAGGTGGTCACCTTGGACAGGTTGCCAAATGCTTGTGTCAATGAGGAAAATTTTTGGGGCCGAGAAAAAGTTGTTACCATGGCCAGGTGGCCAGCTTAAAGAGGTGGTCACCTTGGCAGGTTTGACTGTACATGTAACACTAAATGGAGAACTGATTCTAATACAATGAACACAAACAAGACATTTACTTACTGTTGTCAGATTGGCCGTAGAAGGGCCCGAGTTTTGGCGTGGAGTGACTCTCCTCAGTCCCAATGTCCTAAAGCATACTGCCAACCTGTGCTCAGAACCGGCGCTCCGCTGTAACACAGAATATTTTATTACTACACGGACGTCAGATGTAGTCAACAAACCGTTATATAGAGTTATATTCCAAGAAGGGCTTAGAGGGGACCGTAGAAGGTGTCATAAATATGAGACTGAAAGTCTGCTCCTAAAATAGTTTATTAGGCCACACCAATTTAATCTGTTGGTTGTCGATTCATTTTGAGAAAAAACAGAGCGATAGTGTGAAAAAACAGGCCTATGCAATTCCTATCATCATGATGGTCCCACATAGCCTAGGTGCCATCCGTTTTGTAATGGCGATTTTTTTTGGGTTGCCGTTACAAATCATGGCACCCAGGCTAGGTCACACATGTAGAACAAAGAACGTACAAAAACACTATCCAACCACAACCGACCTTGCTCCCGACCTACTGTGGTTGGGGGGAGTTTCGACACTGTTCAGAAGGCCTTGTTAACCATGCAACCGTTAAAACTGCTGACTTCGAAAAAAAGTGAACACAATTGTCATTTGACGTCAAAGGGATCAGGAAGGATTTTCTTACAAGCTTCTAAGAGACAAGTATAAGCCGAAAGAATGACAACAGTTGAAACTAACATATGAGGTGGTCTCTAAATCTTACAGGATTCAACTGTGCGAGAAATTTGTAGCATTATCACTCCCCTAGTGGTATGAAGATGTGCTTCAACATTAGCCTGTGTTAGGCCACACCAATTTAATTTCTTGGTTAACGGATTTTTATAGAAAAATAATGGAGCGGGCGGGGGAAAAAATAAAAACAGGCCGAGGCATCCTAGTATGGCCCAAAATGGTATAATTACAGGAGCCATGAAGTCAACAAACCAGGCTGGTTCAAAATTTAAACAATTAGAGTTTTGAACTTTTAATGATACCACTGCATTGAAAGATGGAATAACTGTAACAACTAAGAAGAAAAGGACTGTTTTCAAAGTTCTGTTCAGGCAGAATATGTCGATGATTGAACATTTTGCAGTTGACCAAGAAACTAAATTGGTGTGGCCTTACCGTGTGCCTTTCTAAGATGTCAGTTCTGTTGTCATTCTTTTGGCTGAAACTAACAGTTGAAACTAACATATGAGGTGGTTCGGGACTCAACTGTGCGAGAAATTCGTAACATTATCACTCCCGCAGTGGTAAGAAGATGTGCCTGAACATTAGCCCGTGTTACCGCACGCCCTTCTAAGATGTCAGTTCTGTTTTTCCAGACAGTATATTTGGCAGACGGCCCATTAGATAGCAAGGAGAGGCTGGTTTAGCATGAGAATGTGTTGGAGATGGAAGCCTGGTCATGTCAAATGGCAGGAAAAATCACCATAAATTGTGTTATTTACACAACATTACCACCATACATGTACATATATGGTCCATTTACAATGTATACAAGTATCCATCCATACTTGTACAATGTAAGTAGATGTATGGTTGGTGTTCAGCACCAACGACAGGTATGGGTGCATTCAGCACCAAGGACTTTTGTCAAAATATAATGTAAAAAAATGTGAATTATTGAACCAATTTTCGGGTACATTGTTCATGCATGGTATGGTCCATCTGCAATGCATGTACATTTTATATAAGTATCCATCCATAGTAGTACAATGTAAGTAGATGTATGGTTGGTGTTCAGCACCAAGGACAGTTACGCATGCATATGTATCAATGGCGTTCAGCACCAAGGACTTTTGTCAAAATATAAAAAATGTGAATTATTGAACCAATTTTCGAGTTTGTTGCATCAAAATAGTACAAAATGTATTTGATTGTTTAGTACTGATATCTACAATACACAGTCAAAAAACAGAATAGAACATTTACTTTTTTAAAAGGACTAGACTCAATGAAAGAGGAGCATCCAACCATCTCCAGCTCACTGTCTGTCTCTCAGATTGAAAAATGTTGATGGACAAAAAGAAGAAGTACAAACAAAAGTTTGATGTACAAAGTTCCCCACACCATTGCCAAGGCCCTTTCAGTACTGATCCATCAATATTCTACTAGGGATCAAAGTTTGGAAGTTTC